AAAAGTACTGAAATAGACTGATACATTGTCTGGCTTATATTTCACAGTGAGGAAGCCAGCCCCTATCAGTCTGTACAAAAACCCGCACCTTTACAAAAAGCAAAACCAAGCAAACCACAGCCAGTAAAGACAGATTTTGTACTAGGGAACCGATATCAAAACTTACCAAATACAAAACCCATTGAAAAGAAAGAATTCAAAAGTTCTCTTGAAAAGAAAGACAAAGTTCAAAAGATAAGCAAAAAGCCAGGAACAACGAATAATCAGAAAAACCATGTCAAATCTCCAGTAGGAGATAATATGACGAAATTAATAAATTCTCCTCTGAACAACCAGTTGAAATCACCGTTTAAATCCGGTAAAAAGATCGAAAATCGCCAGAACTTGTCTTCATTGCCTCAACCACTTTCAACGACTCCAATAGAAAAGCTAAGTGAACCAAATGCAGACAAACTTGGATCCCCAATCAATAAGACTGTGAATACATCTGCCATGAAAATAGAAAGCGAGATACAAGGAGCTAACCAGGTTGAAGATAAACCAGAATGTGCCATCAACGCAGGCGATGAGGAAAAAACGTTGTTAGGGGAAGAGGGCAGGACATCTACAAAATGTAGCCGACTTTGCACTTTCTTGTAAACTAAAATACAATTTTGTAATAGCCCTATAATTATCAATAATATGGAATTCAGGTAATTGTGGGGTTAAATATAACTTCATATTTAGAATCATTGGATTATGGATTATAGTTACCGTTTTTGTGTTAATAATTGCAAACAAATCAATATCCATTATTAATTAGGCCTAGGCCCCTATTATAAGTTTCAAGGTAGATAAGTGTCCCTGTACGTCTATTAAGACCATGCTATATCTCGATACCAATAGAAGATAACCAATTATGTTTAGTAAATGTAAATGCAGTATATATATATATATGTTGTTATCAGAGGATCATACACGGTATAGAATAATTACCAAATTGTCCGAACGTCAGGCCTACGCATGCGTTTTGTAATACTTTAACATGACATAGGCCTACTATGAAATAAAAAAGAAAATAGGCCTATTGTTAAAATTGGATGTTTTGAAAAAATGCATTAAATTTGGAATAGGTTATATATGTTGAATGTATAACCAAATATTGAATTTATTTTAATAATACCATTAAACCGCTTCTTTGGTCTTTTCCTTTTAAAACTTATAAAAGGTCTATTAATTCTAATTGCAATTATTCCTCGACCTAGTTTAGAAATCTTTAAGCAATGTTTTAGTTATAAATTTAATTTAATTCCCAAAGATATTCACTTATCTAAAAATTTGCTCCTTAAAACTTAAAATTAAGCAATTTATTAATAGCTAAATATATATATATATATTTTATTTGTCAGATTTTAACTAGTTTTGATGTATTGTTAATATTCTTGGCCTTTCAACTTTTATCTGTCTTTTGAATATATAATATTTTACATGTTTTATTGTATGTATGTTTTATCGAGGGCCCTTAATGGTCAGTTTCTGCAGGAACTGGATGGGTGACCCTCTTTCAAAATAAATAAATAAAAAAGACCACGGGAGCTGCAGTTAAACTACCGTATTCGATAAATGAGTTCAATGTTCATTTTAAGTACACCATCTATAGATTTCCTCATATCTATGTGTGTATTATATTTTTTTACGGAACACATAAATTTATCGTATGGGCCCTCGCCGACGCTTGCCGAGATATCCAGAGTTTGCGGGTTCGATTCCCAACTCTAGGCCTGATAAAAAAAACTTCCGTTGATGAACTATGTTTGATACGATTTATAACATCATGTTACTATATATTGCTTTATTACTATACACTGTATTATTATGTATTTGTACAATAATGATTTAAAAGTGGCGCAATAAAATTACCCTAATATGCACACTAGTAAGACCAAAGAACTGATTTTTGATTTTCGAAAATTGAAAGAACCATTAACAACTTTTAAGATTCAAATATAGAAATTATTCTTGGTACCTAGATAGATGAGAATCTAAGTTGGAATTTCAACTCCAGTAGCCTGTATGTAGTAGCAAATCAATGCCGTGATGAAGAAACTTAATTACTTTGTTGTTGGTAAAGACTCATCTTTTTAAATCAATCGGTGCTTACCTATTTTGCAATATTGTTTGAGTGACTGGGCTGGCCAACATAAACGTGGCCGAACTTACAAAGATTACACGAGTAGCATTGATGTTAAGGATATCTTTGAGTTATGTAAGCTGCCATGGTAAACTACTGTATATATACTGTCTCTTA